GGCTGTTGGGTTTCCTTTTTTGAAATCCAACGGTCCAGATTAATTAACTTAATAAAAAATTATAAAAAATTGTTTAAAAAAAAAAGAAGATTTTTTTTTATATATAAATACCTAACCATCTTTTACAAAAAATGTACTTTTGGAAAATGACACGTGACGAGACAAGATTAGATAAAAATTCTATCCGAAAATAAAAATAAATTTATTTTTATTATTTTATAAAAATATTAATAATATTTTAATACGAATTGACTAAACTCTTGCCTCATTTTTTTAAGGGTAGAGGTGCACTTGGTCAATTATTGTTCATTGGAGTCAATTACTATTCATTTTGGTGGATTAGTTGAACTTTAGGCCAGCTCATTTTTCAAAGGTAGAGTTGCTCTAATAGTAACCATACGAACATGAAGTATCATTAATTAACCCAAATAATCCTCTACGCACCACACCATACAACATACCTAATATCGGTTTGCAACTTTCTGGGCAAATTCCCGCACACAAATGATGTCACCAAACTGATTCCAATTACATGATGTATTAAGAACAACAATTACACACATAAACGTGCACGCAAAGGTGGCCTTTTCGTACAAATGATCACCATTTGATGTCATCCAGATCCAAGTTTTAAACCATGCATCTCGCACTGCATGGGCGCGGGGCACGTGCGGGGCAAAAACCGACGTCAAACGCAGGCAGGAGGACTCAGGATTCCCATAACCTAAACATTTCGACTTGTGCGTTTTCTTGGAGTCATCAACTAGCCATGCCTTCCAAGTTATTATTTGCAGCAGATTAAACTAACAAGTAATTAAGCAGCAGCACCAACAAACTTTCAGCTTCGAAACCACTCCAAGTCCAACCTTCCCAATCCATAATATTTTTTGGGATGTGATATCTATTCATTCTTTTTTATTTCTTCCACATTTTTTTAGTTTTCAGTTGTCGGATCGGATGAATTGAAGAAGATCAACGAACATAATTTATCAAGGGGTGTGTGAGAAGTAAAAAAAATGTGTGGATAGCATACCCCTATTATTATTTTAAATTATATCAAATAATTAATAGTTAAGCACCACCAAACACAAAACTACACCGAGAAACCAAATCCATGTGACCTTTTTTTTATGACAAAAACTCCTAACTTTAGCACCTCCCCCATATGTTTAACTTTCTTCATTTTTTTTCTGGCCTAAGAAAAATTCTTCATTATTTTATAATTTTCGGGCACAGTTTATAGTTTATACATTATGCATCGCGGAGTCCCATAACTAGGAGAAGTTTTTTCAATGTGCCTAGGAGAGGTTTTTCAGTGTCCTAAAAACAGAACATGACCTTTTATACGAAGTGTAATATTACAATTGGTACCAATTGTATTATTACACTTGATATAAATTGTGTTGTTCCCGACACACTGAAAAATCTCTTCATAACTAAGCATAGGTATTATTTAATTTAGTAATTTTTCAATATGGCCACACACATTCACGTAATGTTACCAATCACCTTATATTATAGTACTTATATATATTTTTAGTATCATATAATATGTCCAGGACATCAGGTGCATAAACTAAGACAAGGCTTGAGTGGCCTCTAGCGAAGGGGAAGGTTTATAAAGGTTTATAATTCTTAGACCGCCCACCCCATCCCACATATAATATGTCATCCCAACGGTTCCAACCTACTAAGCAAAAATTAACCCACCCCCACTCTATCCGCTGCAAAAATGCAAAACCAATCTTCTGTTAATTAAGAATAAATTTTACTTACATCTTGATATGGTAGAAGAACTATTATCCTACTCCTATATAAATTTCTGGTTCTACTCTTGCATTATATTACATATCAAATACAACATCGTCTATTTATATTATATCATAATAAAAAGCTTCTCGTGTCATCGTTCCAATAACGCCCAACCATATTATGAATATTATACTGGCTGCTAATTAACCTATACGTATCGGACTCCAACCAATCATCTTGAAAGTCTTTGCATTCATCGAACTTGATTGGGTGATGAAGTACTAATTTTCCGTCTAATTTATACATTAATGCGTTTAATGATTCCCATACTCCACTAAGGTGTAGTGGAACTTAAACAATGTCACTAATTAAGTATCCTTTGATTTGATACACTAATCAATCTCATTTCTTATCACTTTATTATGCTAAGTCTACATATATGTTAACATCTTTTTAGGGTGAGGACATAGCACAAGTCTGTTTGAGGACTTACCAAGAGAGTCTTGATCCATTTTTTTGTTTTTACAGATCATTCACTGAGAAAGATTGTCGACAACAAAACTCGAATTTAAGTCTTGATTTATAAAAGATAACGATCCTTATCAAGAAGATGCCTTTTAAACAAGTGAAAGCACTTTTGGAAATAGATGGCTGTGAACCCATGTCCATCATCACATGGTAAAGGTGACGATCATAAACTTAAAAACGATAGATCGAATGCTACACCTGATAAGCTTTAGGGTTCTTCAAAACTTACTTTTAAGTCGATTGAGGTTTTTGTCACGCATCCGTAACAGAAAATAGAAAGGCAAACCGCCAACAACAACCCATCAAAAAAAGTTTGGTGAGTATTATATTTCGTAAGATGTGATTTCTCACCAAAATTTCTTATAAATATAAATAAATTAATAGATTACTTAACTACTTTCCTTAATCTCACCTTTTTAACTACTTTCCTTAATCTCACTTTTTTTTAATTTTCTTCATTCACTCATTGGATAAGAAAATTTAGAGTTAAAGCATCGATGCGTATGTACTTTGGTACGGTTTCGATTCCTACCAATCTCTTTTCTCCTTAATAATTAATAATTTAACTCACTTACGCTATTGTTTATGAAAGAGAAAACTATTATTTATTTATTTTAAGTGTTTGATGATTTAACTGTCTAATACTATCGTTTATGAAAAAATAGTGATTACGCGACCATGACATTGGTAATTATTGAGGAAAAAGAACACTAGCATAGCTAGTAGCCTGCAACTTAATTTGTGAGTTTTCATTTTTAGAATTTAACGTAAATTTTTTATTGTTTGTACCGAAAAAAAATCGTAAACCGTGGCTGAAAAGGTAATTGACAAGTAGATTAATTGTTCGCTAATTATAAAAAAGACCACAGATTTGTCGTGGTCGTAAAAAATAGTTGGCAGTCCGGCTTTTGAGGGGGAAAGGTGGAAGAAGCTGATTGGTCCACAGCTTCTAGTTCCTACACCAAATCCAACGATCTCCTTGCAATGGAAAGAGACTTTTGTCCTAATGGGTCCATGCTTTCGTGTATTTACAAAACAACCCAAAATTAGTGAGAAGCCACGTTTTTAATTTTCTAGTTTTTTTTTCAGGGATATATTATACGTGTCAAGCTGAAAATTTGACAGAATAATAAAGTTATTCAAACTTTTCTATATGCCTTACGCATGACAGACTTCACAAGTTGTATAAGTTATCACAAATGTAACGAATACGTGCTAGTTTAGAAGAAGCGGAAGATATGTGCTTATTGCAGGAAGTATTTAAAGTGTTTTTTTAGATTTATTTATTTATTTTTATTAAGATTGGTTTTTAAAATATTTTCACCAATATCGTTTTCATTCATTTTAAAAATACTTTTAAATGAGCCCCTTAATACTACAGTATGTGGTATTTCTCTTCATTTGTAAGTGAGAGGTCTTAAATTCGATTCTCGCCAAATTTGAACATGAACCATATTATTGCCAGCTCATTATAAGGCTAATCATATCTCATTCCTTTAGTGTAGATAATATCGTTTGTTAAAAAAAAAATACACACTTCCAAATAAGATATTAGTTGTAAAAATATTGTAATGCTAAGAGAATAAAGGATGTGTGTGTAATTTTTTTTCTCTTTTTTACAAAAAAACTAGCTAGTGGCTTCGTCTTCACAGTTTTTATTTTTATTTATTTTTTAGGATCGAAAAGATTCATAAAGACATTTCAGCATTCTCTTGGTCATCTCAAATGATTGAATGTGTGTGAAAATTTAAATTTAGGTAATTGTATTCAGTCCTCTAGATCAAAAAGGAAAAAAAAGAAGAAAAGGTGTAGGTTTGAATTTGCATAAATTCACTTAGGTAACTATCCTATGCCACTAATCATCCATTAATCAAACATAACAAAAGCCAAGAAAAAAGAAACTTAATGTGGAAACTGAGTGTAAACCTTCCAAAATTGTTGACTTTTAAGCTTCTCAACCAATTTCCTACCTTAGAAGAGAAATCATCATCATTATCCTTAGCTCAAAAACAAAATTATCTTTGTTCTTATAAAATAAATAACAAATCATTTGGATAAATCTGGTAAATTAATTCAATTGGTTACAAATTTTCCCACCCAAAAACAGATAAAATAAATAAATAAATAAATAAAAGATTTATAGATTTGGACAACAAGGCAAGAAAATGGCTAAAAAGCAACACCCTAGAAAATTAGAAATCCTAAGATCTGTTTTGAGGAGGACAGACGGCGACACTTCACAGTCACAGGTTTTGGTTTTTTTTTTTTTTTTTTTTTAACAAATTCTTGGTTGGTTTTTTGGCTAATTATGTTTCGCCCTTTTAAGTTTGAGGCAACTATCAAAATGGTACACAATGTTTTAATTTGGCCGCTTTGCATCTTGAAGTTTTATTTTGGTCACAGGTTTTTTTTTTTTTTTTTTTTTTTACAAATTCTTGGTTGGTTTTTTATCGCTTACACGTTAATTTATATAAGAGTATCATTACATAGTTTAAGAAAGGATCAGACAATCTATTCAACAAATGACATAAATGAATGAAATATAATATTTAATGGTGCAAAATAAGAAAATTAAAACATTATGACCTATTTTAGAAATTCGTTAGAACATAAAAGGTGTAAAATGCAATTAAATATAAACCTTATTTTTCTTATTAAACAAAATTAAAATAAAATAAAAACAAACAAATGGTGTCCGGTCTGAGATCTCACGAATATAAAAAAGGAACATGATATTTAGGAAATAGGACACAGAAAAGAAACAGACAGACGGAGATCGGAAGGTTCGCGCGCGTCTGATTCGTACAGTGACACTCGTCGTCGCCGGAAAATCAGAACCCCCAAAACATATAAGTAAATGGATTTCTGATTCGTCCTCTGCGCATGCAATAGCTCAATACATCATCAGCAGCTGACTCTCTCCCTTGAAATCCGCCTTTCGACTCTCTCTCCCCCCTCTCTCTCTCTCCCCTGCTTTCTCTCTCTAAAAAGCGTGTTCTTCCATTTTGCCAAATCCTACGGTCGCCATTGCTTGTGGGTTGGGCTGAAACTTTAGTGAGAGTGTCTGGCTTTCTTTCTTTTCTTTCCGCAGCTGTTGAATCCGACGGTCGTCAAGGCTTGATCTTTCAGCGAATCTCTGCTTTTGGTTCTGCTTTCTTTTGGAGATTCACAGAGGAAGGCCGGAGGTTTTATTGTTTGCATGGTGGGTTTTCTCTTTTGGGTTCTGATCAGTCATTGATCAGCTTCAAGATTCTTCAATTATATCTGCAAAAACAAAGAGGAAACATTTTTGTTTTTTTTCATTGTCTTTTTGGTCTGATTTTTTTTTTCCTTGTTATTTTAAAGAAAATTAACTTTCTGTATGTGGGTTATAGTATTTTTGCCTAATTAAGATCTAATTGGATTGATTTCTGTGTAGAGGTTTTCCCATTGATGGTAAAGTTTAAAAAGAACATAACTTTATGTAGTCCCATTTATAATTTTCTTTAAATTTTGATGGGTTCTGCAACTTTTCTTGACATTTACTCTGAATAAGATGCATCATTATAAATTGGATCTCAAACTTGGATTTTGGTAAATTTGTGGATTATATATCTTGGTAGCATTTGGTTGGAATTACAAATAATATTGGTTTTTGTTTGATGCAGCTTCGTATATGAAAACAAATTAGAGAACTTGGTTGTCCATGAAGTCGCCAAACTCATGGATATGGATGTTCAAGAAAAAGAATTCTTTTTCTGATGGGGTATGACCCACAATTTCTTACCCTTTGGTGTTTTTGTTTCTGTCGTTGTATTCAGTTGAGTTGGAGCCAAAAGCTTGTATTCCGTTGAGTAACCCGTCTCACGCTCAATAATGTATGATGCCGGTGCAGGGGAAAAGCGGAATGAAGATGAAGCAGCTGTCATTTATGGGAGTTACATGTACCGTAATGTTATTCATAGTGTATAGAACCACCAACTTTCAGTATCAAGCTTATCAGCAGACGGAGGTACCATCATACACACAAGAATTATGATAGCAATTCACTGCATTTGATTGGCCGATTGAAATAATTTTTCTCGGGTTCAAGAGAAACTCAAAAGTAACATAGTAGTAGCGTTATTGTTGTTTTGTGTTTGAGTTTGACCCTGAGTTCTCATAGTCGTTGATAAATTGATTTATTTCTAGCTTTTTGATATCATGGTAATTCTATAATTGCTGTTTTCCTTGTCCTGGTGGTTAGTCTACTGATTGTCCTTTGCTCCTTTCGTTTATTAGATTGACGCAAAGTGGAATCCCTTTGACACAGTAAAGGTAGTGATTTGATCCTCGTGTCCATGTTGCCAAGTTAATGTTTTGTTACCTTTCTATAATACCTTAAAGTAAGACTTCAGTAGCTCTTTTTCCGTTGATTTCCAAATTACGGAGATTACCAGTCCAATATGCAATTCTTTCATGATTGGATCATCCATTGCGGATTGATGTTTCTTCCTTCTTTATATTCTGAGGTTCTTCTGATGCTTCAGGAAATTTTTGCGACTTCGAGAAAGTTGGACAGTTTACCTCGTGGGATTATACAGCCTAGGTCAGATTTAGAGCAAAGGCCTCTATGGTTGACAAGTAGTTCAAGGTTAAAGGTAAGATTCTAATCATCTTGTGCTTAGCACCACCTTTAAGGTTCTTTCTTGCATATCAACTTATCCTCACTAATAGAAAATTGATAGATGATTGTTCAGTTACTGATCATAGACTGCAATGTGTAAAGTGAAGTTTGTTCCTTATGAACTGGATATAGACACTTTTTGTGATTTGGGTGCTTATTCTGATTCAGGTCGATGATTATAGCAACCGTAACTTGCTGGCTATTCCGGTTGGTATTAAGCAAAAGGATAGTGTTGATGCTATTGTGAGAAAGGTGAGTAATGCATTTTTCTCTTATTATGTTCCAAAAGACATCAACTGACACTTCGGCTAATTTTATCCATTTCAGTTTCTTCCAGAAAATTTTACCTTTATCCTATTCCATTATGATGGGAATGTTGATGGGTGGTGGGATCTTGAGTGGAGTAACGAGGCCATACACATAGTTGCCCAGAACCAAACAAAGTGGTAAGTTAATCGTTCCACTTATGATTCCATTTATCTGGCTTGAATATATAACATATATGTAGTGCCTGCAATGTGCTCGTTTGATCGTGATATGAAAAAACATGCAATCTCCTACCGAAAATCTCACAGTTGCAGTTATCCAAGAATTCCTTCTAGTGCTGTTCCTGGTTTTCTGTTCCGTTTCTCATCTCTCTTTCCTTCATCCTATTTTTTATGATTTATTTTCAGGTGGTTTGCGAAACGCTTTCTGCATCCAGATATTGTGTCCATTTATGATTACGTATTCCTTTGGGATGAGGATTTGGGGGTTGATAATTTTCATCCAGGAAGGTAATTTTAATGCATCCCAGGACACTTTATGCAACACATACTCTGATTATGTTCGACTCTGAATAGGGTAGTTTTTAGTTAGTTATTCATAATTACATGAGTGAGGGCATATCAATTGAATGTAAGTTCATTGCCTTCTCATTGCATTTTCTTGTACTAAAGCATCTTTTTAGGACCATAATTCAGAAGATTATCTGTTTGAAATTATTTTCATTAGTTAACTTGTCTGAAAATTGTTTAAGAGAGTTTATTTTGTCTAAACATTTTAACTTGATCCCATAGGCAGCATATGGTTTTATTTTCATGCTATTCTCTGGACCATAAATGGCATGATAGCCGGTAACTTAAATTTTTGTTTTGTTTCCCAGATACCTTGAAATTGTGAAAGAAGCGGGACTGGAGATATCTCAGCCAGCTTTGCATCCAAATTCAACAGATATACATCATAGAATTACAATTCGTGCTAAAAATAAGAAGTTTCATAGGTGAATATGGTGGTTTCAAAACAACTATCTTAAGTCTATTGATTTACTTTTCTGAGCACTTGTTATCTTAATAACAAGATTTCACTCTTCGCAGAAGAGTTTATGACACCAGAGGCAGCACAAAGTGTACAGAAGCAAGTCAGGGACCACCATGTACCGGGTGAGTTGGCATGCTCATATTAATATGTATGACAGACACAGCTATTCCTTCCAAGTTTGAAGAATTTGTTGGCTGCTTGTGTGATGAGTAGCTGTGAGGTCTGACCTGCCTTGTATGATGTTTTCTTGGTTTACCACTGCTTCTAAAATCCGTTAAGATGAGAGTTGACAGTTATATCCGTTGAGATGAGAGCTGACAGTTATTCTATATTCTGAGACTATACGTGTGTAATTCAACTTTTCATCAAGGAGCTGTGAATACCGGAACTTGAATTTAGGATCAAATGTTAGGATGTGGGTTAACTGTTATTCAATAGTCCAACACTGTGTTCTTTTGTTGATTGTCATTCTGGGTGAAGAAAAGTTAATAATTAAGACTAAACATTCCAAGGGGTCATCTGATATCCGAATTGCAAGAATTCTAATCAGCTTATTTTTTGGGATATAGTTTTTCATTTTCTAGAATGGACCATAGGACTTGTTGCTTAGCCTTTTAAATTGACAAATGCAGGTTTGTGGAAGGCATGGCTCCCGTTTTTTCAAGAGCTGCCTGGCATTGTACTTGGCATCTTATACAGGTAGCCGTTGTATCTTAATCTGTTCACCTCTACTACAATATATTGTTGAAGAAAACATTACGCTTGCATAATATGAGCGCCACTACCATGTGTAATACTATGTTAAACATTATCTTCATTAATTCCTCACGGAGCAGCTTTCTTTTTGTTCAGAATGATCTTGTACATGGATGGGGTCTGGATATGAGACTTGGGTATTGTGCACAGGTAAGAACTGCTTTCCTGGTTCTTGTTAGGATCAATTTCCTCATTAGGTTGCTAGAAATTGCTTAGGTTTCTTGCTTTTGCTTGACTATTGCTTATTCAAGTCAATAATCCCGAGTCAGTTTACATAACATTCAGCTGGCCATAACTAGAATACTGCGTTTTGTAGGGAGACCGTACCAAGAAAGTGGGAGTTGTTGATAGTGAATATATTGTTCACAAGGGAATACAAACTTTGGGATATGGTGGTTCGTCGACAAACAAGGTTAGTTAATCTCTGCATATTCTTTGTCTGCTAGAGAAGGAAGTTCTCGTGCTTGCAAGTGTTAAACCATAAGCATTGCATATCTCTTGCACATGCATATTTGATCCTTGTCGACGGCTTGGTTTTTTCTTTTCTTATTTTCACCATTAACATTTCCCATTTTTCTTTCCCTATTTCCAGGTTCCTGAGAAGAAGAGTAAGGTAAACTTCACAAGCAATAGCCATCCTTTTGTTTTCTTCGTTTTCTTTCTCAAAAGATTCGACAACTACTAGCATTCTAAATTTGATGTTGTTGACGTTGTTAATGATATACAGAAACGAGCTGCTTCAGGGCATGACGTGCGAATTGAGGTGAGACCTGCTGTCCAATATGTAGTATAGATGTCCAAAGTGATCAAGTTATCATGCGAAATCACCAATCCTCTTACCGAACTATTCAATATATGAGCGATGAATTATTTACCAATGTATTGTTGTTTACATTTGCAGATTAGGAGGCAGTCAACGCGGGAGTTTATAACCTTCAAACAGCGGTGGAACAACGCAGTAGAAGAAGACCCGAGCTGGGCTGATCCATTTAAAAGTAGCCTAAAACGCAGGAAACAGCGTAAATTCGACAACTTGAGATCTTAACTTACAAGTCCTAGCCGAGCTAGTTGAAATTATTAGTGCCTCTTCATTCAGAGGCGCTCAATCTCGTCTATACCCATAGTTTGTGTAGCGTTTCATTGAACCCATAGTTAATTCATTATTTGAATTATTCACAAGTTTTGATCCTTGCAATTCAGATTTTGCCTCCGCCCTGTCGTGGTTCTCGTAAATTCGATATTTGTTCAGGCCGCGGTCCTTGTAAGTTTGATATGTCTCGGTGTAGTTGGTTATGTATATGGATGGTCTACACTGGTCTCATATGCATTTTTTACACCAGATGGTTCTTTGAAGATGGCAGTGACAATATAATCAGTAAATTTTGTCCCTTATTTTCTCGGAATCCAAGTTTTTTTTTTCTTTTAATAAATGTAAAAATTACAGACCGTAAGTCAGTAAGGTTCTCAGTTTTACGAGAGTCGGGACAACATCTTTTGTACATAGATTTACTTTTGCTTTGCAAAAAAAGGTTGCTTCTATGACTCGAATCCGGAGCTATTTTTCTGAATAAATGTAATGCAGAAATGTAGTCTCAATCCTTCTGGAAGCACATGAATAACGCATTAGCGCGTAATCGTATAAATAATCAGGTCAAGTCTTGATCGCTGGTGCCTTGCCTTCTAGTCTAACCTTTATATATTAGAATATGTTGTGAAGCTAATTTTAAAAGTGGGTGAGAGAGAAAGCGACGATAAAGATAGAAAATGATTCAGGTGTACGAGAATTGTGTGCTTAGTTCTTGATCTTGTATTTTTGTTTTTATATTAATCATGATGAGTTTCTTGTCTTCCATGTAATACAAACTCATGATAATTTGATATCCAAATCTTACTGGAATTCTACTTTAAGTTTGCACAATAACAATTCTGATTTGTATGTGGTCCAATATTTTAGTGGATAAGGTGTTGATTTCTATCCATGTGTTTTGGGTTCGAAAATTACCCATCTCCTAAATTATTGTAATAGTTTTGAACATCTCCTTCTCTTTTAACAATAAAAAGTAAAAAAAAAAAATCACGTTTCTAATTAATAATCCTATTCACAATAGAATAATCATTCTGATAAGAATTTTCTAGTTCTCGGTTAAGTGTTTGCAAATGAGAAGAAAAGTAGGGAATTAATTTCCGAACTTCCATCTTATACATACATTCATTATTATTTTTTAGCTTTGAATCGAGTAAATTAAAAGATAATTGGTGGACGAAACTCAACTTCTTTGAGGTTCGAATCAAGTAAATTAAAACAAAATTGACGAACAAAAAGAAAACGAAAACAAAGAGAGAAGTGTAGAAGGAAATATAGATGGTGAAAGTTTATAAAACAAAACAAAGTTTTAGTCAATTTAGCTAGAGTAGCTAACTTCGTCTCTTTATATTCAAAGTTCGAGGTCGAGTTCGTATAGTTTAAGGAGGTCCGAGCGATGCCTGCCTAACTTTACATTGTCTAACCAAAGATTAAAAAATTAGGTGGGGCATAAAAAACAACTACAAAACTACGAAATTTGGTACAACAAAACCCACAGCTAACATCATATGGATTGAGTAACACATCGAATATATGTAAGTAACAACGTTATGTTTTTACCGTTGAAGTAGATACAGTCATCTGTCGAACTCATCATAAAATATATTGCATGCTCATCTCGTACCTAAGACATGATACTTCTTCCAAACAAATAGAGATTTGGAAGCACTTCAAAATGTTGCTAAAATATAGGCATTTGGAATCTTCTCTGGATCTTAATGTTCAGAGGTCTGAAGCATAAGAAGTTAAGAACAAAAAAACCTGATCATCTTTTGTGAAAAGGAGATCAGAGCTTTTGATTTGTGTGAGATAACCAACTAAGTTAATGATAATTATTGACTTTAATTTTAATGGTCCGAATTACCTAATCATTACGTTTCAGACAGTGATATAGGGATAAGATAGCTTTCCAAAATATAGCATCACATTCACATCTCAATGTCATTGTCTGAAAAAACATACCATAACCAAAAACCCAAAATTAAATTGAATTTTCAATTATGCCCCTAAAATTCTGAAAAATCAAATAAAAAAGCCGCCTTTGGCTGTCAAAAGCTGACAAAGAGTCGGCGATTCATCCCCTTTCTCTCTCTAGAAAAAAAAAAAAAAAATCAGTAAACCAAAGGCAGCGGTTCTCCAGTCTACTCACTTTCTCTCTCTAGAAATTCCTTTTTCATCTGCTCACAGTTTCCCTTCATACTTTTGTGCCTGAAACTATATTTTGCTTCAATTTTACTTCTTCCATCAAAGTCTTTTCTTTTATTCTCTTCTCATAAGCTCTCAGATCTCTCGGACAAGCTCTGAGACCGGTCCTTTGGGCGCTCAAATCTCTCTCTCCCCCATGGCTGGTCGCTACGACAGTAACCCTTTTGCCGAAGAAGAAGAAGTCAATCCTTTCTCGGTGAGTTATCTATCTAGATGATTTTTGCTGTTGTTTCTTTTGAAATCAATTGAATTCGAACTGGGTTTTCTGATTTGGTGAATCTGGTTGATAAAGTCGTCGACTTGGATTTGGACTTGGGTTTTAGAGATTTTAAGATCTGGGTTTTGCTGTCGAATTGAAGTGAATCAAGTCAACATATCTGAATCCCACTTCGAAAATTTCATGGGTTTACTGTCTGTGTTTTCAAAATTTCAAATTTTAATTATATCTGTTTGCTCGAGCGGTTATGATTGAATCCTTGTATAGAAGTAACCTTATCTAAATCCAATTTACGCTTTTTTTTATTTCTTTTTTTTTTCCGTTATTTATTTATTTATTTTTGGTCAATTTTGAGTTGGGTATTTGTGGGTTATTGGATTCCAGTCAGAATTTTGAGTTGGAAATATTTGAGCGCACATGTAGATACCAAGCTATGTATGTATCTATCTTGTTTCAGATTAAGCTCTACCATTTGGGCAAGGCATGGGTGTTGTAAACTTATCAGGCGCATAAAACATAAATCATGGATTTATATGTAAAAACAGAGAAATAATTTGCTTTTTTGTACGTATTGTTTGAGCTCTTATGATGTGCTAACATAATTAGCAGAATCCTGGAATTGTTGCTCCTGCCAAAAACTCAAGACTTTCACCTCTTCCTCCTGAACGTGCTGGTTTCAACTACGGCCTTGGTGACCCCGTTGATATACCTATCGATGGAAATGCAGTAAGTTTTAATTTCAGATTGTTAGTTAGGCAATTGAAGTGGACTTCTTTTGTTTACTAAGTGTAGGTTCTTTTTTTTAAATATAGGATTTGAAAAAGAGGGAGAGGGAACTCCAAGCTAAAGAAGCTGAATTGAGAAAGCGGGAGGAGGTATGACTTGAAAGATATTCTGAATTCTGAAAGTGTGGATAATCATTCAAAGATCATGGCAATAAATGTTTCAGCAAATTCCCTGTTGTGGTTTTTTTATTCATCCAAACAAGTTTTTCACTGTCATCTTTTGTGATATTATGCAGATTGTAAGACGGAAAGAAGAAGCTGCCGCACGTGGTATTTTACTTTGACTTATTTTTCTGAGATACTTTTTCTCCTCATTCTGGGGGAGGTTAAAATAATGGTTTTCGAAACACTTACAAGTTTGACATCCTTTGAAATTTTATCGACTAATGTTTTCCATCGTCCCTTTTGTTTTGCAGCTGGAATTGTTCTTGAGGAAAAAAATTGGCCACCTTTCTTCCCAATTATCCATCATGATATTGCAAATGAAATACCAATTCATTTGCAGAGGGTGCAGTATGTTGCATTCACAACATGGTTAGGTATGTCAGTCATTGTTTTATTTATGGATATGATTATGCGTTGACTCTATATCACAATTCTTATTGCAGAAACTTAAATCTAAATTATATTCACATATGCGCTGGCTTTTTGTTCCCTTCACTGGAAATTATGATTGTTGATGGTGGATCTTAGATTATGGTGTTAAGGCTTGAAAATTTGAGGAAAACCAAAACTTCAAACAATCATAAGTATAGAAGTTGGTCATAGTCTCTCTCTATATGTATCATTACATGAGCTTGGCTTCTAAAACTAACCTATTGTGCTGAGCAGATTTAGTTTCTAGTCATCTGTTTTTTTAGCATTACTTCATCTCTATATGTATAAGATGGGTGTGAGATAGGCTGCGTGAGTCTATCTGTGTAGTGTGATGTTTTATAGCTTATGTTATTGTTTATATGTCCTAAACTTCTAAAGTTCATTGAAGGCTGCCTAAATTTTGTGATGATCGATGGTGTTATGCAGGACTTGTTCTTTGCCTTTTCTGGAATGTAATAGCTGTTACTACGGCATGGATTAAGGGGGAAGGTGCGTGTGAAAACATACTTGGCAACTGTCCTGCATGTAAACAAGTACTCATTTTGGATCTATCTCATGTTGGGTGAAATTGATCGTTTCCTGATCTTTGGTGTAGGGGTAAAAATTTGGTTCCTTGCTGTTATCTACTTCATATCAGGGGCTCCTGGATCCTATGTCTTGTGGTACCGTCCACTGTACCGTGTTTTCAGGTATATATTGCCCATTTTTATTGAATCCTGCCAGAGTCCTACTTCTGTATACGACTTGTTTATAGCCAAAAGGAACTCCTTTAAAGCTTGGACACCATGTGAGACTATTATGAAGCAACAAAGAACCAGTTATGGAAGATTTAGGGAATAAAACTTATTGGATTTGGGTAATATGACAGTAGTATTGATGATGGTTATGAGGAATTCATCTGGTTACAGCATATGTAATTGTTTCAACCATGATGAATATAGCTGCTTAATTTGTAGCTAGCTATAGTATTGGTTTGAATTCTCTAATTTTATCTTCTTGCAGGTCCGAGAGTGCTTTAAAGTATGGATGGTTTTTCTTGTTTTATCTGGTAAGCTATCCCAAATTTTTGTTGTTGTAGTTGATATGCAGTCCACATTGTCATTTAGCATAATTAACTAGTTACATATTCCATTTTCTTCTACCAACAGATCCACATTGGCTTCTGCATCTTTGCTGCGGTTGCTCCTCCGATATTCTTCAAAGGAAAATCTCTCACGTATGTAGTTTAATTGAATTTCCCTTAACACTTTTTAGACATTTATGATTGATCAATGGATTATTTATTTGGTGCGTGCTGATGGATATACAAAGTGAATGTTTTCTCCTGTGTATGCTGCTTATGATTTTATTCGTGTGCTTTTGAAACAGTGGCATTCTGCCTGCAATTGATGTTCTTGGTGACCATGTTTTGGTTGGGGTAAGAGTGTTGGTTCCATAAGTATATTGTTCTTCTAATATTTTGTATGGCTGCCCAGCCACATGAGTGTTGCACATTCAGAACCTTTGAGAGGATATGGGTTAAAAGCATATTCCAGATGTTTTCAAAATACGGAAGGGAGAAACCAAACGGTCCTCAATGATACTTTTTATTTTTCCATTGCTTGCAGATCTTCTACTTCATTGGATTTGGAATGTTCTGTCTTGAATCAGTGCTGAGCATCTGGGTCATTCAGGTCTAGTTCCAATCCCAAATATCGTTGCCAAATTGTCACGAAAAAGAAAAGCTAGCATTTGTTATTTGGTCTTTTATAACACATTTCCCCCCTCCCCCCTCCCCCCTCCCCCTCTACATGTGCAGCAAGTATACATGTATTTCCGAGGAAGCGGTAAAGCTGCTGAAATGAGGCGTGAAGGAGCGAGAGGAGTCGTGAGGGCAGCACTTTGAAGCTAAGGTCTTGTATGGAGAAGAAAAGATGGCGGACTTGTGTATTTGATATAGGTTGTAAATGCCCCCTTTAGTTACAGGATTATGGTTTTGTTCGAGCCTTCATTTTTTATTTGTTCCGTCGTATTACGCCTGTTTCATAGATGATTTTTAAGTGCTACTTCTGTTTCTATACTGGAGAATATGATTAGGAGGCTTGACATCACTGGCTTGCTAGAAACATCATGTTTTCTTCATTTTTCTGTTTCTGAGAAAAACTCTTCATTCCATCATTTTTTTTTTTTTTTGCTTAAATCTTTTGATTACTGCATTTTTTTTGGTTTACTGCGTTCTTTCAACCGTATTATGAAATTTCTAATCTTTTGAACTCGTTTCCTCTGAAATCCGTTGTTGTATGATAGAATTTTCCGATAATCAAGCTGCTTATTAGGTATTGATAGGCTGCCTAACTTCTCAAAACGTTAATTGTTACTGTTTTGAGACTGCTTTTGTGTGAAGTGATTAATTTCTATGACTTTGCAAGGTACCCTTTGTTGTACCTTCATGGATTGAACACAAAAACTCTTAAGTTATACAACTCGTGTTTTTAAAAGAATTGAAAGTTTTGTTGGTGAAAATGTTTTCGGGTTTTAAAAGAACTCTCATCAAAAGTGTTTTCAGTCATTTTAAAAGCATTTCCAAACGAGTCAATATATTTATGAAAGCAACTTGTCGTGGAAGAAATTTATTACAAAAGTTATATTACCTTGTTTTAAGAATCAAGAATGTTAAAGATTGTTAAACAATCAATCAACCCTATGTGGATCGGAAATGCTTTTGTTCAAGTACTTTTGTTCATAACGGGCTTCTATTTAGAGGCACACCAAACTTTTCAATAAAAAAGTCCCTAAGTGTTTCTTGGAAAACACACTTTTATGGAGAAAAAGATTTTCGAGTGCTTTTATAACTCAGAAGCAGTTTAACCTTTTAAATACCTTTTAAACATTCTCAGATATGATTTTGTTGTGAATGAACTGCTTCTTCCGATCATTGTTATAAGCGTTTTTGTTATCTAAAAGCGGTTTAGATGTCAGCTTGTGAAGCAGGAGAACATTACTCTTAGATAAAGCAAAATCACATATCATATATTTTAGGTTTGTGGTCACTCACAAACCAAACTCACTCTTAAAGCCCTCAAAATAGTAGTAGAAAAATAACAGGAAAATAAAATAGAGTTTGTCTCATAGAAACTCTTGCACTCAGAAATCCATTTATATCCATGGTCTACTTAGAAGGCTCACATCACATCACATCACATGCATAAACATACTAATTATAGTTAACTATTACCGGCTACCGGCTGCAGTACCATAACAAAAGGAGCAGCCTATTCATCTAGCAGTAAGCAGTACATTTCTTGCAGTCGATAGTGCACCCACCGCCGCCTCCGCCGCCACCAAAACCCTTCCCTGACCGGCTGTAGGATGTGAAGCACTTAGCAGGGCACGTCAGCTTCTTCTTGTAGCACGGACCCTTTTCTTTACACACAAGAGAAGTCCTCACAGTTCCACCCTTGGAGTACCCTCCATTCGGACTGCCATACCCGCCTCCATATCCGCCACCCACACCGCTTCCAAAACCCTTTCCGAACCCTGGTATGTCAAACCCGGGCGGGAAAAACCCCCCTATGCCACCACTGTTGCCACCCCCACCACCACCACCATTAGCAGCACCACCTTTGTCCTTTGAGTTCTTGAGCTCAGCTGAGAAGGCTCCATCGGATCCCGGTCGGGCTGCGATGCCAAGTGAAGCAGTGAGGAGCAAAGTGGCTAGGAAAAGACTTGTTGCTGGGATCATTTTTCTGGCTTTTTGGAAAAGCACTTATGGAGAGAGTGATGAGATAGAGAAGAGAAGGGATTGTTAGGGGATATGGTGAATATATACAAGTGGAGGGATTGTGGTGGGGGGGAAGGTTACCAAAAGAAGGGCATTAATTGAGAGCGTGTTGGAGGACAGTTACGTAGACGTCCTCTCATGAACGGGGAGTAGGTTGGGTGCCATTACTATCCCTCTTTTACTCTCTAGTATTACGTAATAAGTTGGACACATGAAGTTTGGTCTATGTATTAAGTGACAATTTGACATATATGCCACATTTTGTTCTTGATGGGGGCCCTCGTGAAGTTATTGTAGGTTGGATGTATTTGATTGTTACGTGACATGATCTGTTAAGATATCGGGTATGTCACGAAAATGATACGAATACGAAAAACACGACACGAATGCAAAATCTAATAGAATACTGTAAATTAGAGTAAATTGTAATTATAGTCCCTTAACTTTAACTCAATTGGAGCAATGGTCACTCAACTAAAAATTCATTACTATTGGTCCCTCAACTTTAATTCAACTGGAGAAATTGTCCCTTAATTTTAACCCAATTGTAGTAATGGTCCTTCTAACATAACTCGTTTTAACAAAATTTTTGACGTAGTTGATGAAAAGGACCATAATTACACACTTTGATGAGTTAAGGGACCCTAATTGTATAAATGGTCATTCCAACATAACTTATTTTGACAAAATTTTGACGAAATTGATGAAAATGACTATAACTACATATTTTGATAAGTTGAGGGACCAATGGTAATGAATTTTTAGTTGAAGGATCATTGCTCCAATTTGATCAAAATAGAGGGACTATTGCTACAATTTACTCCTGTAAATTAATATCCAGTATCAGCCAATTTATACCCTTTTCGTTTCTACTGAGTCGGTTGAATTATAAGCATGGCATAAGGACTACATGTTGATGTTATTGGCGCTTTTTTATTGCAAGATTTTGATCATACGTCTTTTGATGATTGGTTTCTTGTCAAATCTCTCCAATTTGATATCTTGTTTCTCCAATTAAAAGGTGAAAAGTAGTTCGATAACGTTGATTCTTAATATAGATAATAATTTATGACCTGAAAAAGAAATTAGCTCTAATTTGAAAGTTGAAACTACAGCTTTCCTATAATTTGGCAACATTTTTCTCCCAAAATTTTTCTATGAGATTGATTCAAATATTGTATAATTTGCAATGGAAATTAAATTTCTTTTAGCTTTCGAACACGTGACAAATAAATATTGGATACTAATTAGATTTGGGTGTTCTAGGGTTGGGTTTAAGGGGATGCAGCAATCTTAGAAGGTTATGGGCTATGTCTTTATAGTTCACGCCCCCTAAATCCTAATTTGCACGATGGATGGACCAAATATGGTAACATTCATCACTTGATAGCCAAAAGTTGAGGTGAGAAGTGTATAGTCTATTGTAAAGCATCATTTTCAACTTTTATATGCATATATTCTTCTTAAATAGTAAGTGAAAATAATTTTAAACTCAAATCTTATAAATGACGAGTTTAATACTAATTTATTTCTTAAAGAAGATGAACAATGTCCTTCAAGACTATCATTGTAAGATCTTTAGTCTTAATAAACCAGATCACATGTCAAGTTGTCAAGAGAGGAGCTGACCAATTAAAGTTGGAGGGCCGACCACCTTTATGATCATTTATGACTAACTCCATACAGATATATGTCTCCGATCTCTCAAGTCTGAACTCCCAAAAGAAAGATAAAAAACTTATTCTGCATCCTCCAATCCGAAGAGCTAGGTTAGATATTTTTATATTTGAAGGTAAATTTTACCATCCATCTGTTGGGAATGGGGGTTTTCCTACTAATTTGAAGACTTAGGGTGTGTTTAAGTTAGTTTTAATCGAAAGTTTCACTGATTAGTTACAAGTCTACGCAATAAGATTCGGGCTAGTTAAATATCACTCTCTCTCCGTTGTGCTGACAACCACTTTTTTTTCTTCTATCTACTATTAAGCAGTGGATTGGGAGTTAGACCATTCAATAAACATTGATGCTTTGTAATACCGAGGTCACCGTCCTTGCTTTAGTTCAATTAATTGCATTTCTACGAGTTAAGATTTCAGAAAGATTTTTCAGTGTGTTCGGAGTACGGGACGATACGCCAAATATTCTCAACAATTGTTGGAAAACTCTTTTTTCAAGTGTCGACCCTCCAATTGTATAATTACATGTAATGTACCACCTGTATTCTAGACACACAAAAATATTTCAAGATTTCATGTGGATTGCTATTAAGAAGATTGATGACTTGTATAACTAGTTGCATCCAAAAACACGGGTGAGATTTATTTCAACTTCTGCCCGTGCGTGCTTCATCTGTCAGAGTCTGTGACTCTCAGTGTGAGTGTCTCACTCATTTTTATCTCAAGGTATCAATCACAGCTTGGGATGCCAAGCGCGTTATACCCTCCTTCACAAAAGGTTATGGTACTGGAATAACTTTGCGTGATATAACCAATTTACGTGTTATAGTACTGATGAATTAGTTACCACATATTGTGTTTCGCTAGTACAGATAATTACAAAGTGAGAAGAGTCGTTTTTATACATTCAATGTGGTTGCTGACATCAAAGACTATATGCAGCGAAGTTTGATTTGGAAGAGAATGGCAAAACATGACTTGTAACATTTTAGGTGAGCTAGTAACACATGGGCAGTACCACGTCGTGTTACAATTACACCCAAAGTTTCCTCAGAAGTTTCATTTCCTTCTTATTTTTCTTCCTTTTTGTTGGGTTTGTTTTGGGCCAAAGAGTTCAGCATTGTCTCTGCAATTGGATTCCAATTCAATACATTTTACATTGCTTGACCCAGTACACACTTAGTTTCTCTAAATTGCAGCTAGGCTGCTAGGAGAGACTTCTAAATTACCTTAAAGCATATTGGAACATAGGCTAAGATGGTCAAGCATGAACTTTGTAGATATACTTCTGCATTTTCCCCTGAAGGATTTAATATTTCTGCCAATGCAAAAATCAGATAAATAAAGAACACAAAAATGAAAACAATAATTTACAATTTTTGTACGATTTCCGGTAATGTAAGGGCTAAGGAGTTGTGTTTTCATTGATGCCAGGCAGCAGCAGTAGACGGCTTTTATAGACTGGAGGAGTCCCAGCTAGCATCAACGGCCCTGATGATCTTGTCATGTAGATTGGCTCCAGCAGTAGCTACTACACCTCGATCAAGGCCTTCCAAGTATATGCCCTTCGAAAAGTCCAGTGGACGCCCTCCGGCATCTGTAACCACCCCACCAGCCTCTTGTATGATAACAACGCCGGCTGCATGATCCCAAATCTTCTCCCTGTAGCCAGCCCTTGCAAACTTCATAAAAATCTCGGCATCTCCACGAGCTATAGCTGCGTACTTCACCATGCTGTATACTCGCAGTGGCTGCTTCCTGCAGTCACAATATCATTTGTTCATCTTATCATACACCTGTAGAATGTAACATATATAGCAAAGAGAGATGAAAGTTTAAATTGTGGTACCTAAGCCCGACACTGTGAGCTAGCCCTGCAGTGAAGGAATGACTTGAATTTTCCTTCTCAACAGGTTCACAAAATGTTGCCAGTGCTGGATTATCTATGGACGACACTCGGACAGGTTTTGCAGAGTTTGGCCACACTAAGTTCTTATTTACATGGAGCAGCGGTTGCATCCAAGCCTCGCCGCTGCCTCTTCTAGCATATATCACACAGCCTTTGTCCCAAGATTCTGACGTTGGTGGTGTCAATTTAGATATAATTCTATGATACCGGTGATGATAATTGAGCCATTCCTTTCTCATTGGGTAATTAGGACAGCCAAGAACTCCAAGCACAACTTCTCCATCCTCTATTAAAGCCAGAGCTATTGCATATTGATCACCGCGGACAAAACCCAATGTGCCATCAACGGGGTCAAGTGTCCAAAATCTCCCAGCCGGGCCTCCAAGTGAGTTGCACCGACTGATGGCTTCAAGAACCTCTGTAGTCCCAAGGGCCATTTTCGGACTTTTAAGTCCAAAACGAGGTGCTTCAGCTAGACATTCGTTCACAGTTTTCACTACATCTTTTAGCACTCCACCTGCCTTTGCCATGGACAAATTTTGAATATCTTCTTCAGCAATAATGGACACGTTGCTGCTCCCAAAAGACTCGGACAGTATCCAGCTCACAGTTGCTTGGACACTCCAATCTGTTTGCAAGGTACATTAAAGAGAGGACATGTATTAAAAAGAATTCATAGCTTCATTGACCATAAAATTGCACCCAAAATGTTGAAATTCCTTTTCCATGACGAACCATTGATACGATAATTTGAAGAAATAGACTCGAATAACATGTGGTCATCTGGTATAGGACTAAGCTCTCGCTTGTTTCTTGGTGTACATATTTCTTACGTTATAGATCGGAATTCATATCGGAAATATAACAAGTTTAAAACATAATATACTAACATAAATACTATATTGTAAGTTATTCCCTGGAGAGATGTTCAGGACCATAAACTGGCATACCAGCAACAACTTATTAAGAGAGTGATGCCAAATATTCCAGCTTTTTTATCGGAAGCTTTCTTTTTGTGTTGAAAGCTAAACTGTTCCAAATTGTAAAGATCCTGACCTAAAAAGCAAATTGGGCATGATTTTTCTCAATTAAGAATCTAAGTTTGAGCAGACAAACAACGATTACGAGGCATATAAGTAAGATGATCAAGAGAGGTGCGTGAGGGAGATTTTGTGAGGAAATAGAGATGAAATGTCTCGGTCCTACAACAAAAAGACACGCTTTAAGAAAAATGTTCAGTTCTGCTATGATTTAATACATCTTGGAGGAAAACATAATGATTGCTTTCGAAGATAGAAAGATTGAGTGCTAGAAGAGACTGCAAAAAAAAGGACTTATGCTCCCACTATGCTTGGTCCAGAAATCAAGTTGTGCACAGAGATTCTGCACTCTCAAAGGCCGCACCAACTTTAGGCTAAATGATATATGCAAATTCAACGAATAACATAACA